GGAGGCCAAGACCGTCAGTAGTTTCAAAGCGTTATATGACAAAGAGTGCTGGGAAGACGGGACACCACGAGCGTAGCTCTCATCCTGTAACTACACTTAGGTAATTACACTTGGGTAATTACCAAAACAGATATGCAGGGCCAGAAAACAGGATTAGTTCACCAGAAATTGCAAGAAGACCAGAGACCAAAAGACACAAAAATGGAATCAATATAGGAAGAGGCCAAACCCCCAAACATACCAGCGATACAAAGATGCAAGAAACAAATATACGGCAGTAAGGAGAGAGGCAGAATAAAATCATGAAAAAGGAACAGCGGATAAATGTAAAACAGAACCGAGCCTATTCTACAAATTCATAAACAACAAATTGCAGGTAAAGGATAATATCCAAAAGTTAAAAATGGGAAACAGATTCATGGAAAATGAAAAGGAAATGTGTGAAACATTAAACGAAAAGTTCCAAAGTGTGTTTGTACAAAATGAAATCTTCAGAGAACCAGACACTAAGAATTCCAGAGAATAGCATAGAGCGTATAGAGGTGCCTAGAAATGAAGTGGAAAAATATGACAAAGGAGTTCAGTAAGAACAAAGCAGCTGGCCCAGATGGAGTTTCACCATGGTTTTTGAGAGAATGTACATCTGAACTCAGCATTCCAATTCACCTTATCTTTCAGGCATCCCTGTGTACAAGAGTTGTAGCAGACGTGTGGAAACAGGCTAACATAGTTCCAATCTACAAAAGTGGCAGCAGGGAAGACCCCTTCAATTATAGACCTGTATCATTGTTAAGTGTTACAGAGAATGTATTGGAAAAACTAATAAAAATAAAATGGGTAGAACACATGGAGAGAAATGATATAATAACAGACAGACAGTATGGTTTTCGATCTGGAAGATCCTGTGTATCGAATTTACTCAGTTTCTATGATCGAGACACAGATATTACAGGAAAGAGATGGTTGGGTTGACTGCATCTATCTGGACCTAAAAAAGGTTTTTGACAGAGTTCCACATAAGAGGTTGTTCTGGAAACTGGAAAATATTGGAGGGGTGACAGGTAAGCTAACATGGATGAAAAATTTCTGACATAGAAAAATGAGGGCAGTAATCAGAGGCAATGTATCGGACTAGAGAAATGTCACAAGTGGAGTACCACAGGGTTCAGTTCTTGCACCAATTATGTTTATTGTTTACATAAATGATCTACCAATTGGTATACAGAATTATATGAACATGTTTGCTGATGATGCTAAGATAATAGGAAGGATAAGAAACTTAGATGATTGTCATGCCCTTCAAGAAGACCTGGACAAAATAAGTATATAAGGCACCATTTGGCAAATGGAATTTAATGTTAATAAATGCCATGTTATGGAATGTGGAATAGAACATAGAACCTACAAAACCTATAAATTATGTGAGTAATCTTTAAAGAATTCTGATAGAGAAAAAGATCTAGGGGTGGTTCTAGATAGAAAACTATCACCTGAGGACCACATAAAGAATGTTGTGCGAGGAGCCTATGTCATGCTTTTTAACATCAGAATTGCTTTTAAATACATGGATGTATTTAATATCAATACTAAATGATCTAAATGATCAATACTAAATTCAATACTAAAGAAATTGTTCACGACTTTTGTTAGGCCAAAGCTAGAATGTGCAGCAGTTGTGTGGTGCCCATATCTTAAGAAGCACATCAACAAATTGGAAAAGGTGCAAAGACATGCTACTAAGTGGCTTCCAGAACTGAAGGGCAAGAGCTACGGGGCAAGGTTAGAGGCATTAAATATGCCAAAACTAGAAGACAGAAGAAAAGAGAGGTGATATGATCACTACGTACAAAATAGTAACAGGAACTGATAAAATTGATAGGGAAGATTTCCTGAGACCTGGAACTTCAAGAACAAGAGGTCATAGATTTAGAAGTAGCTAAACACAGATGCCGAAGATATATAAGAAAGTTCACTATCGCAAACAGAGTGGTAGACGGTTGGAACAAGTTGAGAAGGTGGTGGAGGCCAAGACAATCAGTAATTTCAAAGCGTTATATGACAGTGTGCTGGGGAGACGGGACACCACGAGCGTAGCTCTCGCCCTGTAACTACACTTAGGTAATTACACAGCCCACATCAAAACAAACTACCACGGCGCATGCGCAGGCAAGGATGCCAGATGTGGGTTGCGAGAAGTTTCGAGCTGATGAAAGAAAATTACGAAATTGACCAGAAAACTAGACAATATAGTGTTGTGAACGATTGAATCCCCTTTCAGAGTACACATGTCAGCTGTCAACAGTAAACGAAAAGAGCAGGAAATAGCAAAACATGCATAACATAGCCCGTCTGTGGCTACAAGGAGCCCAATCTGGCAACAATGTGCAGCGCAGGACAGTGCACAGAGAGAAGATACAAACACGAAAGAACTAAACAGGAACTAAACAGGAACGAAAACCGAGAAGAAGCATGGAGGAGGACCAACAAGCCTCAGAAAGGACTGGAGTGGAGCCACACCGGAAGTCGACAGGCATTCCAATAATACGGGAAGAAGCAAAAACCTTCCCCAACCTTCGAGAACACATAGAAAGAAGCAAGCGCAAAGCACGAAGGCACAGAAGGCTCACTCGCACCGAGACCAAAAGTTATGCAGAACCCCGAGAAGAGCAGAACATGACGGTGAAGGTCCATCCCAGGAAGAAGGGTGGAGAATCGTACCCATTGACAGGATGGAACCGACAGATCCAAGGGAAGAGGAACCGAACCAAGGGAGGGGCCGAATCCCAACAACACGTACGGAGAGGGATGAAAAAAAAACCACTTCTCGGAACCGCAAGCCCGCCCAGAGGGTACAAAAACCCCGGTGGGGTCCAACGGGGCCCGAAGCTCCCCAAGTCAGCCCCGGGTACCCACAAGGCAAATCCCGGGGCCGAGCTGTCCCCCCATAGCTCTACCCACACAAGAAAAGTCGGGGCAGCGGGACAAGTACTAAGGAAGAGAGCCCACTGGTAGACTCATACAACACGGCTGGAGGAACAGGCTCGAATGCTCCCGTCGCTACCCCAGAAGGGGAACTGCCCGAGACCGCCCGAGTCTCAAGACCACCGAAGCTCCATCCCGACTCCGAACGCACAGACGGTAAGGATACGGATGCAGGGAGGAAGGGATGACCATAACAGGGAAAAACAAGGAGGCGCGGAAGGAAACAAAACCAAAGCAACCAACACCCCCAAGCACCGTCACACCAACGAAAACGGGGCAGCCTCGGGGCTTCTCGAGAGCAAGCAACCTAGCGTGTTGCCACCAGCAAAACCCAACGTGCAACGCCTGTGCTGCATCGCCCGCATAGTCCACATAAGACTGGGTAACTGAGTTACAAACAAGCAACAAAACTCGCAGGACTCTGGGCCGAAGGTGCCACCGACCCCACAGGCAGCAGACCGAGGCAAAGACAGGGAGAGTCACCCTGAGACAAAGAGGCAGAGCAACCCTCGAACTTGCACAAAGCGAGGGGACACTCCGGGGTCACATCCATCTAACCTACGCGTCCCCGTGGGGATTTCCAAGGACCTAAGACAGAATCACGCCCAGGTAATCCCAGGCAGGGCACTGCTAACCGGCACCCAAGTCTATCAAACAACCATCTAAGAACTGAACCCCTGGGACACTCACAGGGACCTAGCAGGGGGAACCACTGAAAGAAGGAAGAGTACTCGGTACAGAAGGGGCAAGAACCAAGGCAGATCCCCCCCCCCTCCAACCAGGCAGGCAGACAAAAAAAAAAAAAAAGAAGAAAACCCAGCAAGAGGGCAGCGTACCCAGGTGGAACAGAGCCGGCCACTATGATTGGTGAAAACAAGCTGCACAGTACCCTGCGCCCCACCAGTGCAAAACTGCCCATCACCCTAAGGCAAACAAGGGAGACAGAACACCCAAGCACACAAAGGGCGGCCGAAAACCAAGCAGTAAACGGCCTAGCAGAGGCAGAACCCAAGGAACTTGGGGAAGGTAATCCAAGCCCCAAGGGCAGTACTTACAGGGCACCTAGGGAAGGAAACCCTAGGCGCATGCAGCCCAAGTACTGGGGAATCACTCCCGGCTCACGCACCACCTAGAAGATAGTCACCATACTCTAGGTACAGTGCTGAAACAACAACTGGAGCCGGAGCACACAACCATTGCCCATAGCATCAGCCTCAGAACTGAAGGGTGGATAGCCAAGCGGGGGTCTGGGGGCCCCCCCGTCCCCCTCCCAGGGAGGGAGGGAGCGCACAGACAGTGGCGCGGCGACGTGTGACGTCATGCTCGTTCCTTTTGGAGAGTTCTATCCACTTGTTCGGCTTTTGGTAGCAATTTTCACCAGAATATGGGTCTGTTTTGGGACGCTTACCTTTCTGGGTGCTTGACCCGGTTGATGGTAGACATAGAATGCTTGCAACCACATGGGGGTTTCTATAGGCCATTGCTCCCCATGCTTCTCTGAGGGGGCCAGGTTCTGGCTCGTGGTCCCCGGTAGGCCCACAGAACTCCATACACATAACTGATGCCAAAGTCTGACATTAGCATATCAGCCTGGATAAGCTTCTGCTCCCCAGATAATTATAGTTTTCTTTTGAAGGGTGGTAGACAGAACAATCTAAGTGAGGTGGTGGTGGAGGCTAAAACTGTCAGTAGTTTCAAATTGTTATACAATAAAGAATACCGGAAAGACGGGACACCACGAGCATAGCTCTCATCCTGTAACTGCATATAGGTAATTACACTCGGGTAATTAATAGTGTAAGCCACACTGACCAGGAACGACTTGTATATCAACTGACACGGGCCATCACATAAGGGGTTAAAGGATATATATAAATAGTATTACATTTTCCAAAAGCTGTCACAGCTCCCAATGGCACATACAATATTATTACAGCTATATATGGACCATTTTTCAAGCTAATAAGTTCATTCATGGATCTGAAATTTGTGCTCAATTTCATTGATGCCGCCCTTACCTCGCCTGCCAACAGTTCTGCGGAGACCTCGGGAACTTCATCTTCTATACTTGGTGGTGGAGGCGCCAAGTGGAAAGCATATATACTTCGTAGATTGTAATTAAGAAATTTGGTCATGTAGCTATCCTCCTGTAAATAAGAAAATGATAAGGTCCATCAAATGTTATTGAGCAGGCCATCCTCCTGTTTTGGTAGTACTGTACAGTACCTTTAGGTAGGACGAGGGTCAAAATACACATATCGACGTACAACACAATTAAAAGGTAGAAATTGGTACTATTGAATTTGGACAAACCGGAAAACCATTTTCTATTTATGTTGCAAAGACAAACTAAACAAACCTAACCTAACCTTTCTAGGCCCAAAACATGCTATCTGACATCTAATATAAAACCTGTGTGCTGTACTAGGCCTAATAATACTTAGGTTTATTATTTAGCTTCATTTTTTGGGCCTATAAAGGGAACAGTACAAAATTCTACCAAATTGCTTCGTACTTCGGTGTTTGTACTGTGGTGCACAGTTACAAAAAGTACCATCAAAACAGGAGGACGGGTTGTATCCAATGTGATGAAAAATTGAACACCAAGAGAAACAGGACTAAAAAAAAACAATAGCACAAAATTTTATGTGTTAATGCTTTGTCTTACAAGTTAAGAGGAGAAATATGAGGACTCTAATCCTCTGCATAAGACAGAGTAACCAAGTCACAAACAAGCAACAATACTCAAAGGATTCCGGGCCGAAGGTGCCTCCCACCCCACAGGCAGCAGACAGAGGCAAAGACAGGGAGAGTCACCCTGAGACAAGGGGACAGAGCAACCCTCGAACTCGCACAAAGCGAGGGGGTACTCCGGGGTCACATCCAATGAACCCATGCGCCCCCTAGCGGATTCCCAGGGTTCTGAGCGTTTACGGAATTCAATCCCAGGTAATCCAAGGCAGGGTACTGCTAGCTGCCACCCAAGTCTATCAAACAACCTTCTAAGAACACAATCCGCGGGACGTGTACACTCACGGGGACCTAGCAGGGGGAACCACTGGAAGAAGGAAGAGTACTCAGTACACAGGGGGCAAGAACCAAGGCTGACCCCCACCAGGTAGGCAAACAAAAAGAAAAAGAAAACCCCGCAAGAAGACAGCGTACCCAGGCGGAACAGAGCCGGCTGCTATGATTGGTGAAAACAAGCTGTACAGTACTCTGTGCCCCAGCCAGTGCAAAACTGCCCCTCACCCTAAGGCGAATAAGGGAGACAGAACACCCTAGCACACAAAGGGCGGCCGAAAACGAAGTAGTAAACGGCCGAACAGAGGCAGAACCCAAGGAACTTGGGAAAGGTAACCCCAAGCCCCAAGGGCAGTACTTACAGGGCATCTTGGGAAGGAAACCCCTAGGCACATGCAGCCCGAGTGCTGGGGAATCACTCTCGGCTCATGCACCACATAGAAGACAGTCACCACACTCTAGGTACAGTGCTGAAACAACCAATGGAGCTGGAGCACACAACCATTGCCTATAGCATCAGCCTCAGAACTGATGGGTGGATAGCCAGGCAGGGGTCTGGGCTCCCCCTTCGCCCTCCTGGGGAGGGGAGGAGCTGCGCAGACAGCAGGGCGGCTATGTGTCACGTCATGCTCGTTTGCTTGTTTCTTTTTGGGGAGTTCTATCCACTTGTTAGGCTTTTGGTAGCAATTTTCACCAGAATAGGGGTTTGTTTAGGGACGCTTACCATTCTGGATGCCTGACCCGGTTGATGGCAGACATAGAATGCTTCCAACCACACGAGGGTTTCTATAGGCCATTGCTCCCCGCGCCTCTCTGAGGGGGCCAGGTTCTGGCTTGTGGTCCCCGGTAGGCCCATAGAACTCCATACACATGACTGATGCCAAAGTCTGACATTAGCATATCAGCCTGGATAAGCTCCAGGGAGCCGAAGGGGCCCCCCCTAGAAAACTAGCGTTGAATGTAATGAAACACCATTTTCTGGGTGAGTCCCGAAGGCTCCCCGGAGCTATCCAGGCTGAATAGATATGTTAAATTTCTGGCATCAGTCAATGTGCTTGGAGTTCTTGCCTACTAGGGACCACGAGCCAGAACCTGGCCCCCCTCTGAAGAGGCACGAGGAACAATGGCATTTAGAGACCCCCCAGTGGTTGGGAGCATTTTTTGTCTGCCATCGACCGGGATAGGCACCCAGAAAAATAGGCGCCCCAAAACAAACCCCTATTCTGGTGAAACTATTGCTACCGAAAGCATCAACAAGTGGACAGAACTCCCCAAATGAAAACTGGCAAACGAGCATTACATCATCATGTTGCCGCACAGCTGTCTGTGCAACCCCCCCTCCCCGGGAGAGGGAAGGGGAGCCCCAGACCCACCCGTCGACGACTCAACCATCAGTTCTTAGGCTGGATGTCAAAAGTGCGAAAAACACTGCCGACCGAAGGGGAGGGAGGGATGCCACGGACTCACCCAGAAAATAGCGTTTCATTAAATTCAACGCTGGTTTTCTGGGGGGGGGGGGTAGCCCCATCGGCTCCCCGGAGCTAACTACCCAAAGATAAGAAAAAACAGGGACTTACCCGGGAGGCGGTCCGTCCTCACTCCTCAGCGCCAAGTTGAGACAAGTGGCCGCAACCGCCGACCCAAAGCAAAGCAGGCCCCACCAGGCTCAGGGACATTGACAAGGTAGGAAGCGGCCAGGACCCTGTTCAACCTCCAAAAACCCCAGGCCCGAATGTCAACCCAAGACATATTGCCAAAGACGGCAGTTAATAACCCTGCGGACGAACTGAGAAAACCGAGCCCAGGAAAAGGGAAGAAGGGAAACTGAGTAAACCCGAAGCGCATCCCCAATCACTGTGGCCGTGGTGTGCAAATAACGGCGGAGAGCCGCAAAAGGACACAAGACATGATACACTCCCGGCCTGACCAACCAAGTATCAATGACCCAAGGACAGCTCCGGAATGCAGCCATCTTATTTATTGCCAGCAAAGAAGGAGATGGCTGCAACCGAACAAACCTACTACCGGGACCAAAAGAGCAGAAACCCCTGTGCCGGAGGAGAGCATGAAGCTTCCCGACCCGACCCCCAGAGGTTAATGCCAACAGGAAAAAAAGAGCCTTGGATAAACAATTCTGAACCAAAGGGGCCACAACAAACCGAGAAGATAAAAAAAAGAGAGAACCCGGTCCTGGACCAGGACTGCTCAGGTGCGTGAGCAGACCGTAGGTGAAAAAACACACGAGACAGCTTGCAGAACGGGGCAGAAGTAACAACACCGAAAACAAGCTGAAGCGGCTCTGCCAGTGCCGCACTATAAGAGAGAACAGTATTCGGCAGAAGATGACAGTCCTGAAACAACCAAGAAAAAGACAAAACAACCCTACCAGAGAGTAAAGATAACCTATGCAGTGATAGGAAAAAACGGAAGGACTGTCAGGCAACTTCATACTGCCACCAGGACGAAGTGTGCAATTGGGAGACCAAGAACAAAGCCACATGCGCACCATGATAAAGGCACAAAAAAATTTATACCAAAACAGAGATGCAGAACTAGGAAACAGGATTGGTTCAATAGAAATTGCGAGAGGGCTAGAGACCGAAAGACACAAAAATGGAATCAATACAGGAAGAGGCCGAACCCCCAAACATACCAGCGATACAAAGATGCGAGAAACAACTACACGGCAGTGAGGAGAGAGGCAGACAGAAATTTTGAAAAAGGGATTGCGGACAAATGTAAAACAGAACCAGGTCTATTCTATAAATTCATAAACAACAAATTGCAGGTAAAGGATAATATTCAGAGGTTGAAAATGGGAAATAGATTCACGGAAGATGAAAAGGAAATGTGTGAAACACTAAACGAAAAGTTCCAAAGTGTGTTTGTACAAAATGAAATCTTTAGGGAACCAGATACAATAAGAATTCCAGAGAACAACATAGAACACATAGAGATGTCTAGAGACGAAGTGGAAAAAATGCTCAAGGAGCTCAGTAAGAACAAAGCAGCTGGCCCAGATGGCGTTTCACCATGGGTTCTGAGAGAATGTGCATCTGAGCTCAGCATTCCACTTCACCTGATCTTTCAGGCATCCCTGTGTACAGGAATCGTAGCAGACGGGTGGAAACAGGCTAACATAGTTCCAATCTACAAAAGTGGCAGCAGGGAAGACCCCCTCAATTATAGACCTGTATCATTGACAAGTGTAATAGTGAAAGTATTGGAAAAACTAATCAAAACTAAATGGTTAGAACACCTAGAGAGAAATGATATAATATCAGACAGACAGTATGGTTTTCGATCTGGAAGATCCTGTGTATCGAATTTACTCAGTTTCTATGATCGAGCCACAGAGATATTACAGGAAAGAGATGGTTGGGTTGACTGCATCTATCTGGACCTAAAAAAGGCTTTCGACAGAGTTCCACATAAGAGGTTGTTCTGGAAACTGGAAAATATTGGAGGGGTGACAGGTAAGCTTCTATCATGGATGAAAAATTTTCTGACTGATAGAAAAATGAGGGCAGTAATCAGAGGCAATGTATCAGAATGGAGAAATGTCACAAGTGGAGTACCACAGGGCTCAGTTCTTGCACCAGTGATGTTTATTGTGTACATAAATGATCTACCAGTTGGTATACAGAATTATATGAACATGTTTGCTGATGATGCTAAGATAATAGGAAGGATAAGAAATTTAGATGACTGTCATGCCCTTCAAGAAGACCTGGACAAAATAAGTATATGGAGCACCACTTGGCAAATGGAATTTAATGTTAATAAATGTCATGTTATGGAATGTGGAATAGGAGAACATAGACCCCACACAACCTATATATTATGTGAGAAATCTTTAAAGAATTCTGATAAAGAAAGAGATCTAGGAGTGGTTCTAGATAGAAAACTATCACCTGAGGACCACAAAGAATATTGTGCAAGGAGCCTATGCTATGCTTTCTAACTTCAGAATTGCATTTAAATACATGGATGGCGATATACTAAAGAAATTGTTCATGACTTTTGTTAGGCCAAAGCTAGAATATGCAGCTGTTGTGTGGTGCCCATATCTTAAGAAGCACATCAACAAACTGGAAAAGGTGCAAAGACATGCTACTAAGTG